GATATTATAGAGTCAGAAGATGAACTTAATTTGGGTGTGTTAACTTCAGAAAGATGTGATTACCTTATGAAAGACCTTGTAGAATTTCCATGCCCAAGATACATTATGTCTCTAGTATGTGTCTCAGCTCCCTTCCTGGTAACAGGGCACGAATGTAGTGGGAATCTCTGAGTATATACATAGACAGGTGTTTTTTTAATTGAAAATTTAGTTTAGACAATTGTAGATTTGCATGCAGTTGTAGGAAATAACAGAGATCCTACCTTAATGCAGTCTCCCCCATGATCATTTACATATATCACAACATTGAGTTGTACATCTTAAGTATGTGCCATTTTTGTCAATTGTTGATCTTAAAAACCAGAGGAGCTATTCCCCCCTGCCCAGCAAAATGAATTTATTTAGGAATAGCGGAGGAATTACAATTTGGGACAAGAAAATTATGGTGAACAATAAGTGAGTCTGGAGAACAGAGGGGAGGGGCTTGCTTCTATAGGGGAGAGGAGAAAGCTGGGAGGGGCTGTTTTTATTGAATTCTCATTGGCTGGGCTGTTGCAGGGCAAGGAGAAATTCTTCCCTTCTCCTGTTGGGGTATATAAAGTTTCTTTGTGGAAATATCAGCAAGGTGGTTTCCCTTAGCCTCCAGGAAATCAAGTTTGGGATACTGAGGGATCTTGATAATCACTAAAGCAGCTGGTCTGAGTATGGCACCTAATAATTCCTGAACATAAAGACCATTTAAAATTTTGTCCCTGTTGGAAGTGAGGAGGCCTCACTGTTTCCATAGCACCCCAAAGTTATGAGTTAGTCCAAAGGCTTACCTACTATTAACATAGATATTTGCAGTTTTGTCCTTGGTTAAAAATGCAGGCCTGAGCAAAAGCATACAATTCAGCCCACTGGGCCAAGGTAGCCAAGGGCAAAGGTACCACCTCAATGATTTCAAAAGGAGTTGCAAGGGTGCCTAGGTGGCTCAGTTGGTTGGGTGACTGCCTTTGGCTCAGGTCATGATCCTGGAGTCCTGGGATGGAGTCCTGCATCAGGCTCCCTGCTCAGTGGGGAGTCTGCTTCTCCCTCTGACTCTCATGCTCTCTCTATCTCATTCTCTCTCTCAAATAAATAAATAAAATCTTAAAAAAAAAAGGAGTTGCAAGAGCATACCCAGCATAATATTTACCATTTTCATCTCTTAAATAAAAACCATTGGTAAACCATGAAAAATCAGTGTTATCCAAGGGAGTTTCCTGTAAGTCATCACAGGGGGTCAGGAGAAGATCTGTCAGTGGCAAATAGTCATGAGGAGTATCATCTGTAGAGGAGGGAAGGGTGGCAGGGTTAAAATTATTAGAGCAAGAATTATATGAGGCACGGTTAGCAAGAGGATCTCATAGGAGGTGAGACAACTGGCTGAATGTGTTGAGTGTGATGGGCATTCAGGAGGGCTTCAACTCCATGGGGTACAAAGATATTTAGAGAGGATCCCATGACTATCTCTTCAATGGTCTTGACTAAAAGGGTGTTGGTAGGAATAGCTATGAGGCAAGGGGGGTGGTGTCCTTGTGCCATAGGCTCTAGCTGTTGGCTATAATACCCTATGGGTCAATGGTGGGGCCCATGTTTTGGGTGAGTACCCCAAGGGTGTTCCCTTCCTTTTCAAATACGAAAAGGAAAAAGAGAAGTTGATAATTGGGATGTCCAAGAGCAGGGGGATTTACCAAGCTTTCCTTTAGGGCTTTAAAACCTAAGTTATCTTGATCTTCCCCAGTAACAGGGTCAGGTTTATTGTTCTTTTTAATAAAATATATAGGGATAAAATAAAAGAAAATGTAAAAGGGTTGGGTCATATGTGATTTTAGAATCCAATTTTGACAGCAGCCAGCCAGCTCAAGAAAACTTTGCGATTGGTGCTTAGTTTTGGGTTTGAGGAAGTTCAAGATGCCATGGAGCTTATCTGGATCTAAAGGTAGCCCTTGTTGTGAAATCAGGTACCCCAAATATCAAACCTGAGTGCAAGAAAATTGCAATTTCTCCTTGGAGACTTTGCATCCCACTAAGGCTAAAAGTTTTTTTTTTTTTTTTTTAAGATTTTATTTATTTATTCATGAGAGACAGAGGGAGAGAGAGAGAGAAGCAGAGGGAGAAGCAGGCTCCCAAGGAGCAGGGAGCCCGATGCGGGACTCGATCCCAGGACCCCGGGATCATGACCTGAGCAGAAGGCAGACGCTTAACCATCTGAGCCACCCAGGCGCCCTAAGGCTAAAAGTTTTAACAGGTGGATGCTGTCTTGCTGTGGAGAGGCCTCAGAAAGGGAGCAGAGAAGTCAGTCATGTACGTGTTGTAATAAAGTAGAGCCTCCAGGTAACTTTACATCATCCAAATTCACTTTTAAGGTTTGGGAGAAGTAGGAAATACTTTAGGTAAAACCCTGAGGCATTACTGTCCAGGCATATTCCTTTCTTTCCCAAGTGGAGGCAGATATTGACCGGCCTTATCCACAGGGATACTAAAGAAGGTGCTACATAAATCAATCACAGTGAATATTTGCTTTCAGTGGGGATGCAGGCTAACAAAATATTGGGGCTGGAACAACAGGATGATGAGGGATGACAATATTGTTCATGGGTCAGAGATTCTGGACAAATCTCTATCCGCGGGCTTTGGGTTTCTTCACAGGTACCGTAGGAATATCACAAGGACTAGAGCAGAGGCCAGGAGGGGGTTTTATTTAGGGGATCCCATTTGTTGGAACTGAAAACTAAGGATCTTAGTAGTCTTCCTTTTAGTTGAATTCTCAATGGTGCGGGTGAGCTGATTTGCTAAATTAACTAAATCTGGAGTGGATACAGTTTCCCATTCTATCCTGCTCCTTTTAACTAGGAGGGAAAGATGCCAGTTCAGCCTATTACTGAACACAGAGTTGAAGGCTACCTGAATGGATTCTACATCCATAGGAAGGCCAGAATTTTCCTTAAAAACAATTTGTAGTTGATGGTAATCGTCATGCACAGGTTCCCTGGGTTTCTGAGTGTGAGCCTGAATCTTAAATCAACAGGTTTTGGGAAAGCTTAGGGGTTGCCAGGGGGAGTCATTTAGTGTTTGGTGAGCCTGATCACATAACAAGACAGGGGCTTGGCCTCTTGTTTTGCAGTCCTGGAGCCTTCAGGATCATCCCAATTAGCTGCTTTCATCTAGCGTTGGGCTCGGCCTTCACTGGGGAGCATGTGAGCCAGCTGGTACAAATCAGAAACCTGGCTGGTAAGTTTGAACCACCGTTAAATTCCTTGGCAGATCTATGAGGATCTCCGGTAACTCTAGGAAAATCTTTGGCCGTGGCTCATAGTTCATCCTTAGTCCAGGAGACATAGGAAATTATGGGCTTACCATTTAGGATCCTCAGAAGGTCTAATTTTCTCTTACTCTTTTAAAAGGTTTTATTTATTTTAGAGAGAGAGCAAAGCACGAGCACAAGTGGGGTCAGGAGCAGGGGGAGAAGGACAAGCAGACTCTGCACTGAGCTCAGAGCCCAATATGTGGCTCCATCCCATGGCCATGAGATCATGACCTGAGCCAAAATCTAGAGTCACTTAGCTTACTGAGCCGCCCAGGCATCCCTAGGGGGCCTAAGTTTAAAGGAACAGGTTCTAATGGGTTCAGAGGAGGAGGACGTGGGGAGAGGTTTGGAAAAAATGGGAAGTTCAGTGAGAGAAGTGGAGGGTATGAAAGTGAGGATGGAGATAAAGAGGATGGGGGAGGGGAGAACAAGTCCTCAAAAGCTTGTCTTTTTTCAATTGCTTGTTTGCCTCAGTTAACTTGGAAATGGCATTGTGCAGAGAGACGATTTTAGAGTCCTGAACACACTTGGAAGCCTCAAGATACCAGCTGAAATAGGCATCCCATTCCGTTTGTGTTTTTTAAAGCTGTGGTCTTCTAAGAAAAGCAAATTTGGGGAGATCAAAAGTGCCCCCTAATGGCCATTGGAGTTCTAAATTAATTTTGGTTAAGTTGGTCCAATTAATTTAAAATACTCTTGAGGAGGGACCATAGCTTTTAAACATAAAACCAGACTGGGCCCCAGAAGGAGGACCTTCCTGAGAGAATTTAGCAGATTCAGATGCCGTTACTCAAAACCAGAGATTCGGTAAACAGAAGAGTAGTCACCAGAAGGGGCAGTGCCTTCCTCACAACATAAAACCAGATTCCAAATACAGTTGTGGAGCTCAGCTAGAAGGAGGGAACTTTGATCTGAGAGGAGACTTTTGGAACCCAAAGGGAAAAGATGTCTCAGGGAAGCGGAGAGTGCAAGGGGCTCAAGTGGGTGCCTCACACGCTTCTAGGGGCCATTAGTTACTTAGGGGTTCATCTCCTTCAGGTTCCTCTGTGGTCACCATGTAATACTGACCTTAAAAACCAAAAGGGCCAGTTATTTTACCAGCAAAATGAGTTTATTTGGGGACAGTTGAGAAACTGCGATTCAGAACAAGCCAACTTCGGCAAAAAACAGGCAAGTGGGGAGAATAGGGGCGAGACGCTTGCTTTTATACGGGAGAGACGGAAGCTGGGCGGGGCTGTTTTTGCTGAGTTCTCATTAGCTGGGCTGTTGCTGGGCCAGGAGAAATTCTTCCCTCCTCCTGCGGGGGCAGAGCAGGCTTCTCCCTGCTGGGGAATGCCGGGCATGCTTCTTACAAGGTTTCCTTTATTTTCACACAATAAAACCTCAGTAAAGTTGAAAATTCCAAATAGATAAAACTGAGTATATTTTGATTTCCTTGTTTCTAACAAGGCTGTGTTGCAAAAGCAACATGTACTCCCCTGGCTAACAATTTGATTTCTTTTGTAACATGGAACCCATATTTTGACATTATTACTGCATGCTGAGCAGAATCTTTCAAAGTCCTCTGTAGCTTAGCAGAAACATAAAAATTAATTAGAAACCTGGAATAAATACAGTTTATTTCATGGACAAACGTTTTTAAGGGTGATGAGAAGGCGCGAACTACCTGTCTATTCCGTGTCAGAAGGTATGAGTCTTCTTTTCAATCTCCTCATGGCTGACTTCATCTCTTGGTTCCTCAGCGTGTAGATCAAGGGGTTCAGCAGAGGAGAGATGACAGTGAAGGTGACAGAAATGGCTTTATCTGTGGGGAGGGCGGTGAATGGCCGGGCATAGACATAGATGCAGGGCACAAAATGCAGAATCACTACAGTGATGTGTGAGGTGCAGGTAGAGATGGCTTTCCTCCTTCCCTCCCCTGCCTGAGACCTTACTACTAATAATATGACCATATATGACACCAGGAGGAAGAAAAACCACAGTGTGGTGAGCAGTCCATTATTGGAAATCATCAACAGCTCAAGCATAAAAATGTCTGTACAGGCGAGCCTGAGGACCTGGGGCACATCGCAGTAGAAAGTGTCAAGAACATTGGGTCCACAGAAGGGGAGTGGGAGCAACAGGGAAATCTGTACGATGGAGTGGGTAAAGCCCCCCACCCAGGAAGCCACTATTAATCCAATGCAACGGCCTCTACTCATAATGGTCACATAGTGCAGGGGCCTGGAAATGGCCACATATCGATCCAGTGCCATCACTGACAAAGAAAATACGTCCACCCCTCCAACAAGGTGGAAGAAAAACATCTGGGTGAAGCAGCCATTGAAGGAGATGGTCTTTCTCTGTGACAGAAGGTCCACCAGAACCTTGGGAGCTGTGATGGAGGAAAAGCAGATGTCGGCAACAGATAAATTACGGAGCAGGAAGTACATAGGGGTATGAAGGCGAGACTCATAGGTCACAGTGACCATGATGAGAAGGTTTCCCAGGAGAGTTGTCAAGTACACCAGAAGCAGGAAAAGAAATAAGACCAAGCTCAGTCCTTGATTCTGGGTTAGGCCAAGGAAAGTAAATTCTTTCACCCTGGTGTAGTTTTTCAGCTCCATTGAGTCATTTTGTTTTTCTCTTTTGTTTCAAGCTACTTCACATGAAAGTACTTGGCTATTGATTTCATTTTCCTCCTAAGCACTAAGACTGCAATTCAGAATCTTGCCTATATGGGTGTAGTGTTTGCAATTTGTTGGGCTGTCCAAATTTTTAAGATTAAAATCAGTTTTGTGATCAAATGACATTATCACATGCAAAGTCATTCAATAATTCTTTTCTTATAAAACTCATTTTGGAAAGAATAAGCATATTTCCAGCCATTGTAGACTTATAGTCTACAAGTTTAATGTTCATATTAGCAAATATTCCATTGACTTCAAGGGGGTCTTATCTTGCTAGAAAATAATGTTCTGTTTCTTATTGCAATGTTGCTGGGGCATGAGTCAGTTTCCTTGCTCTTGGCTGCTTTATATCAAATTTCTTAAATCTTCAGCCTATTGTTCCATGTAGGTAACTTGTTACTGTGATTATTACTTTATACTATTCAGATTATTTGCTTGATAATCATTTTAAAATATTCAAAAATTGCTATTGGAGAACAGATTGAGACAGCGTATAAATCTAAATCTCAAAGAATCACATTAAATTTTTTATTGTGGTAAAAACAATTAAACATGAGAGCTACCCTCTTAACAAATTTTTAGGTGCACATTGTTGTATAGCAGTTTTCTAGAACTTCTTCATCTTCTATAACTGATGTGGTCCTTGCCTGAGTGTGGGGGAGAGAATAAGGATAATGACCTGATTTTGAGAAGTGAACTATTCTGTATCCATCATACCCTTCTGCCTCTTTTTTGGGTCGGAGCTAAGAGAAAGAGAGATCACACAGCAAGGAGAGACGTTAGTATCATTAGAATAATGCCCTTTTTTCATACACTGTTATGGGTAATTCTTACTTCTTTTTGTAAATTTTTATTGTTCCACCTTGTACTTAGCAAGTGAATATTTATTGCAATCTTCATAGGTATAAGAATAAGTTGGACCACATTGTCCAAGTGTTTACACTCTAACAAAAGTGGGTGATTTGTGTAAGTTGATGAACAAAATGCATGATAAAATGTGAAATGTGTCATGAGAAAAGTGAAGGTAGATTTAGGTGGAAGAAGAGGTATGGTAGAGATATTGTGATTTCCAGGAGCAACAAAAGCTACTACTTTGTGAGTGCTTACTATGTGTGAAGAGTTATAAAATGTTGATACATTTAATGTGCACCACTATCCTTTAGTAAATATTAATGTTATTCTTGTTTTTCATATGGAACATATTATGAGTCTACGTTTGGCTGAAGGGAAGGAAGAGATGGAAATAGGATGGAAGAAATGGAGGTTTCTTTTTTCCCCCTTCAATCTCATTTGGAGGGTCTAATTTCATATAACAAGAATGTTTGATAAAGTCTGTCCGAAGACAGGGATTTGGCAAAATGGGGCTCTGGAAACCCCGTTTACATCGACCTTAGTCTGAGGTGGCCTCACTGATAAGCAACTCAAAGGATCACAACAAATGTATGATGTCGTCCCTCACACCGAATGGACCACATTTCTGGAATCCCTTTTAACACAGCATCCCTCTTTCTGATAGTTAACACCCACCTTTGTTGTTTCTGTTGCCGGGAAGATCATTTTGGCTCTGAAGTGCTTGATACACCTGGAAAGTATCAAAGTCAGACTATTTATATATAACCAAAATGATAACATGTCAATTTCACTATGCATAATGTTAACCTTAGCTAGAAGTTTAATGTCTTGACCGAATGCCTTTGATCCTGAAATTCCAAGTAAAAATTGTATAGTCTTAGGTACAGTGCAGAATATTACACTTGGAGACATTAATTCTTGAAAATTTTGTTTCTGAAGGAAAGCCTTTTGGAAGACTAAATCTTAGTACCTTTGCTCTCCTTTCAAGAGAAAATGGGCAAATTCAAAGCATCACACCTTCAAGAACTTCTACTGTATCCCTGTCTTATATACAAATCCCTCAACCTCAGGCCTAATATAAAAATTGCAAGGGGAATATTATTGGACAAGGATGTGGAAGTCAGGTGCCTGATTCTGCTGGTGGTGATGAAGTTTCAGTGGGAGTTATTAAAAAGTTACCAAGATATGCACATGTGTACACACACACGGATGGACACATTTTGATTAGTGTCCAAATTATTTAGAAGCAGTAGTGGAAATCTATCCCCTTATCCACAGCTCATTTGGAACACTGTTAAAACATGCCAAATGCTGTGCCGAAGAGACTACAAGGGTCCAATTTTCATGGCTTGCAAGGCTCAGAGGACACAATATATAAGTTTCAATTAGATTGCCAGAAAACTACAAGAGAACTGGACCTAAAATCCTTTGCTGCCAGTTCAATTTCTAATTATACACAGGATGATTATAGTCTAATGACGTTACTGTAAGTCCCCACATGTAGGGAAACATGATTTAGATGGTGTTTGGGGAATGCACATTTTTCCTGTTTTCCTATACTCTGCACATGTGGTATCTTTCAATTTGGATATGGCTGGATGGATGTTAGTGAAGCTAACAATTACAGTAGTTAACTTAGGATTAACTCAATTTATTGAGTGGCTTGACTTTATATCTTCTGTTTCTATAAGGATGATGGGTTTGAATTTACATGCTTTTCCATTTTGTTTTTGTTTTATTATATTAAACTAATCTACAAAGATGAAAACTGTATGAGACGTTGTATATTTGAGATAGGTAATTCTCTCCCCCCCCCACTGCTTTATTGAGATATAATAACATCAGTTAAGGCGGATCCAACCTTAAACATACACAATATTGTATGTACCTTAAACATACACAATATTGAGCACAATATTGTGTATGTTTAAGGTATATGATGTATTGACTTGTTACATTTATATATTGCAAAATGATTATTCTTGTGGTGTTAGCTAACAGCTCCATTACCTTACATAATTACTAATTCTTTTTTTCCAGTGAGATCACTTAAAATCTACTGTCTCAGCAACTTTCAAGTATATAGTTTTGTTAACGATAATCACCATGCTGTACATTAGGTTCCCAAAGGTTTTTCATCCTATAAATGGTAGTTTGTATCCTTTAACTAACATCTCCCCATTTCTCCCACCCCTCAATACCTGGAAACCACCATTTTACTCTATTTCCATGAGTTCAGATTCCACATATAAATGAGATCATACAGTATTTCTTTCTCTGTCTGACTTATTTCACTTAGCTTAATGCCCTCGAGACCCATCCATGTTATCACAAATGGCAAGATTCCCTTCTTTTCTATGGCTGAAAATATTCCAGCATGTGTGTGTGTGTGTGTGTATTTGTTCGTATATACACATATTTATCCATTTATCCGATGGACACTTAGATTGTTTTCCTGTGTTGGATATTGTAAACAATGCTGCAATAAACATGGGAGTGCTGATACTTCTTTGAGATCTTGATTTTATTTCCTTTGGATATGTACCCAGAGATGGGATTGCTGGATTGTATGGTAGTTCTATTTTTAATTTTTTTGAGGAATCTATACTGTTTTCAATAGTGGCTGATCCAATTTATATTTCCACTGACTGCGCACAAGGGTTTCCTTTTCTTCACATCCTTGCCAACACTTACCTCTCGTCTTTTTGATGATAGCCATCCTGGCAGGTGTTGAGTGATATCTCATTGTGGTTTTAATTAGCACCTCTCTGATGTTTAGTGATGTTGAGCACTTTTCATGTACTTGTTGGCCATCTGTATATCTTGTTTGGAACAATTTCCTCAGTTCCTCTGCCATTTTTAAATCAGATTGTTTTTTTTGCTGTTGTGTTGTATGGATTCTTTATATATTTTAGATATTAGCCCTGTATGATTTGCAAATACTTTTTTTCCCATTCTATATGTTGTTTTCTTCATTTGTTAATTGTTTCTTTTGCTATGCAGAAGTTTTTTAGTTTGATGTAGTCCCATTTATTCATTTTTCCTTTTGTTGCTTGTGCTCTTGGTGTCCTATCCAAAATAATCATTGCTAAGACCAATGTCAAGGAGTTTTCTCGCATTTTTCTTCTAGGAATTTTATGGTTTCGGGTCTTATACTTAAATCTTTCATCCATTTTGGGGCGCCTGGGTGGCTCAGTTGTTAAGTGTCTGCCTTCGGCTCAGGTAATGGTCCCAGGATTCTGGGATGGAGTCCCACATCAGGCTCCTTGCTCGACGGGAAGCCTGCTTCTCCCTCTCCCACTCCCCCTGCTTGTGTTCCCTCTCTCACTATGTCTCTCTCTGTCAAATAAATAAATAAAATCTTAAAAAAAATCTTTCATCCATTTCAAGGTAATTTTTGTGAGTGATCTAAGATAGGGATTTAATTTCATTATTATGCATTTGGTTATACAGTTTCTTAACACCATGTATTAAAGAGATTATTGTTTTCTCATGGTATATTCTTGCCTCCTTTGTTGTAAATTAATTGATTATATATGCGTGGTTTTATTTCTGAGCTCTGTTTTGTTCTATTGGTTTATATGTTTGTTTTTATGCCAGTACTGTGCTATTTTGATTACTATAGCTTTGTAGTATAGTTTGAAATCATAATTGTGATGCCTCCAGCTTTGTTCTACTTTCTCATGATTGCATTGGCTACTAGGAGTCTTTTGTGGTGCCACATAAATTTTAGGATTATTTTTTTCTATTTCAGTGGAAAGTGCCTTTGGAATTTTGATAGGGATTACATTGAATCTGTAGATCTCTTTGGGTACTATGAACATTTTACAATATTATTCTAATCCATGAGCATGGAATATCTTTCCATTTATTTGTATCTTCTTCAATTTCTTTCATTTATGTCTCGTGGTTTTTAGTGAATAGATCTTTTACCTCCTTGGTTAAATTTATTCCTAGGTATTTTGTTCTTTCGATGAAATTGTAAATGGAATTGTTTTCTTAATTTCTCTTTCTGATAGTTATCCTCTTTGCTGGTAGGTGGATTTTTTTTTTCCAGTTTACCTTTCCACAGATGGAGCAATGTTTAATTCTCTGGTTTCCTCCTTTATTTCTATTTTTGGTCCTGAGCCTTTCCCTTCC